ATCACCGAAACGGGTCCCAGACTTTAGCATCACGAGCACATGCTCACTGGCATTTGACATCTCACGCGTCTGCACACGGAATACCCGGGGGCATTCCCACCACATCCAATCGCGATGGCCATGTCTTGGAAATAACAAACCTATTCTTGGCCTCCTCCCCCGAATCGACTAGAGTCTCAAGTGCATATAGACGAATCTCCCGCCCAGGGGGGTCAATCATAAACAAGAAATGGCAACCTCGAACGGCTCCCACTCCGGCTTCAGTCCAACCCTCGCCGATAGTATCTCGTCCTCCTCCCACATCATGTCGGCTTCAATGTCATCTCTGTCCTCATCCATATCCTCGGCTAGGAACTCATCGTCGCACATCTCCAAGTCGTACCGCCAGGCGTCGACACTCTTCCTCACGCGTCGGCTGCCCGAGGCGCTGTCCACCATCTTACCTCTCATCACACCTCCGGCTTCAGAGGACAACAGCCCATCGACCGAGCCAGCACCGGTGGCCAAAGCGTCGCGCACGACGAGAATCAAGGTCTGGAGCCTCTACCTGACCATCCTGAACGCGATCGTCGAGCTGGATCCAGACGAGGGCAAAGACGCCTTCGGGACGCAAGAATGGCGGCAGCTCGTCTCCAAAGTCCGCGAGGGCGAGGTATGGGAGGAGGTAGTCCGTGACGGCTACCACGGCGTAGAAGGGGACGTGGACTCGGACGTAGTCATCAACCTGTTAGTTCCCCCCCAAGCCAAAATTCCCATTCCTTCCTTTACCCTAACCCCTAGCTAACATTCCTCCTCTCCCCCAAGCGCAACCCTCCTCCTCGCCCACGCCCGCACCCAATCCCTCAACCAGAAACGCCTCGAGTCCTACCTAGCGGCAGCCAACACCCCCAACCTCGACCTGTCCGGCCGCTTCGGTAACAGCAACCACTCCGCCGAGCCCTCGCCCGCGCGCCACCGCTCCCCTCACAAGGGCAAGTCCAACCTCCCCTCGGGGGCCGCCACGCCGCGTGACCTGAACGCGCGGGTCAAGATCCTCGAGCTGTATACCTTGCACGTCCTCCTGCGCAACGACGAGTGGGACTACGCGCGCGAGTTCATCAGCATGAGCAGCGTGCTCGACGACGAGAGGCGGGAGGCCTTCCTCCAGGCCCTGCAGAGCCTGTACGAGGAGCAGAAGGAGAGCGAGCGGCGGGAGAGGGAGGAGAAAGTCCGGCAGGAGGCGGAGCTGAGGCGGGATCTGGAGGAGGCGAGGCAGTTGAGGGCCGAGAACGAGGCCATTGAAAGGAAGAGGGTGGAGGAGGAACGGGCGCGCCGCGCCGCGGCGGCGGCGAGTTCGGAGGTTGATTACGGGGTTGAGGGGACGCCGAGCGTGGCTGGGTCGAGTACCTCGAGGACGAGTAGGGGTGGAGGGAAGAGGCATGCGAGAGGCAAGAGCAGTGCGGGGAGTGGTGCGGCAGGGAAGCTGACGGCTGCTTCTAAGAAGGGGAAGGCCGCGGTTGCTCCGCCGAGCTTGGGAAGTAGGGCGGCCATGGTGCTCTCTAACGTGAGGACGCTGATTGAGCACCTGGGCAGCTCGTTCTCGAGTAACCCGCTGGTGCTGATCAGGACGTTGGCGTTTATTATTGGGTTCTTGTTGCTGCTTAGCCGGAAGAACATCCGGCAGAGGATATCGAGGGTACTGGGGAACAGTTGGGGCAAGGTTAAGGCCACGGCTGGGATGGGGGTGAAGGTTAGTTACATCTAATTGTCGCTGGTTTGGGCAGCGAGTGTATTATTTTAGCAGGGTCATTTTTGCAGGCGTTGGGACATGCGGTTGGGATTAATGTTTATCAAATGAATTATCTCGTTTCACAATGCAGCTTGATCTGAGCCTCTGATATCCTGATCTCCTGTCTAACCGTAACCTCGGTCCAACATGCCGGTGCCTCAACTAACCATGCAATCCCTGAATACCCCTTCATGAACGCCTCCAAACGCCAATACGCGCAGATTTCTTTCCCCCACACGATCCCAAGGTATCGCTTCCAAATAAACAAAAACCCCCCAATATAGCAAAACCACACAGAGCCCAGCCCGGGCAACCCCCTCGCTAATAAGGCCCCGTCCGATTCGTCTTCTTCTGGTAGAACAGATCCGTCCGCGACGAGCCGAGGTTTATGATCTTGGGGCACCCGTCGCGGTCCTTCTCGAGTCGCGTGCACTCGAAGCAGTAGAAGGCGTCGGAGATCCCCTCGCCGCCGCACACGACGCACTTGTTCTGGTAGTTGCCGAAGCTGCACTCGTCGCAGATCCTGACCAAGGTGGTGGGCCGCACGTAGCTGTCGCAGACGGGGCACTTGCCGTCGCACTTGTCGCAGAGGCGGCCGATGGCTATGCCGGCTTGCTTGCGGCACATTACTAGGTCGCTGGAGGCAGGGTGAGTAGCTGGTCGCGTTAGGGTGGGAGACGGTGAGAAGAACTTACGGATGATGGCGGGACATTGTGGGCTAGAGAATGGTATTTACGGTGAGCTTGGTGAGCAGAGAGGTGGTTGACGGATGATAGCAGGAGAGGGGGTTGTAGTGACAAGTGGAAAAGCGATTTGTCGAGAGATAGTAGATTATTGTACCCTGGGGAAGCTGTGATGGAGTCGCGATTTCTCAGCCTTGCCACGGCGAGCTGGAAATTTCCACGGCAGCCTTGCAGCACGTGGCTCGGTTCGCGCTAATATGATTTTATGCAGATTGCATAAGCGATAAGCCAGACCGTTATCGTAATCGGTACATGTGTACATCACAGCTCCGTGCGACCCTCAACTCACTTCAGCCTGGGGCTTCACGTCCAGCATCACCCAAATCCTGTAGTTTACTTATTCGTTTCTCAGACTCTTCACCTACCTAATTTGCGCAGACACACTTGCAGCGCAGCACTACAACCATCAATCATCGTCAACCGCAGCCGTCCAATGTCAGCCGACGAGGAGTAAGCTTCCCGCTCGCCCATATTCTTAGCCGTCGACTAACCATCTCCTCTCTAGGCCAACGTCGGCTCCAACCGATACGCCAATGTCGGAGCCACAGTCTAACAAGCGGAAAGCCTCGATTGATGGCGAGCTTGAGAAGGAAGCACCTACGTCACCGAAGCGCGCGAAGCTGGAGCAGCCAGAGACCGAGGCCACGCCTCCTACCACCGACGGCAAGCCAGCACAGGAACCGCACCCGGCACCTAAGCAAGAGGACGACCCAACACCTTCCAAACCCGAACAGCCATCAGCCACCAACCCTTCCCCCAAAGCCCCCTCGCCACCAACCCAACCCGCCTCCCCAAGACAATCCCGATCCCCCACCCTCTCCCGACGACCCTCCATACCTACTGAACCAAGAGCAGCACCACCAGGCCCCGGCCCGGACCGCAGCCGATCCCGCATAACAGAACAAGAGAAGAAGCGCGGCCAGCGGCTCTTCGGCGGCCTCCTCTCCACCCTCAGCCAGCGCACGCCCAACAACCCGCAAGCGAAAAAACGGGCGGAGATCGAGAAGCGGCAGCACGAGCGCGCGCAGCAGCAGCGCGCCGAGGACGAGAGACGGCGGGCCGAGAAGCTGGCCAAGCTCACGCATGTCAGGAGGGTCGAGCAGGTCGCGCTCGACGAGCGGATGATGCAGACGCGGCACAAGAATATGCTCCTGCAGGCTAGGTGTTTGGCTACGAGGGCTGAGCCGAGGGTGGTAAGTTTTGCGTGGTGGGAGGGGGACGGGGGTAGATGAAGGGATGTTGACGGCTAACGAGATGATTAGTTTTACCTGCCGTGGAAACTTACCGAGGCGCAGGAGAAGCAGCTTGCGCAGCAGGCGGACGATACCGAGAGGCTTATTGCGCGGGAAGTAGAGCGGTTTGAGCGCGAGTCAGTGAGGAGGCTCAAGGAGCTGGGTGTTGAGGTCGATGAGACGAAACCTCCGGCGGAGCATACCGAGAAAGATCGAGATCAACCGCCACAGAAGCCGAGTGCGACAGACGGAAAGGCCACCCGCGAAGAGGCCAGCCACGACAAGTCGAACCACGACAACCACCACGACGATCCCGACTACGTGACGGTCGAGAACGAGGAGGATACGGTGATTTACTAAACTTGCATTTGGTCGAGAGACCCCCATGCCTACTGCCTGGACCTAAGCTTGGAACCGCGTGCTATTACGTCTTTTATCTACGTGCTTAATGCTTCAGCAAGGTGCTTTCATCATGGTTGCGGTGTAATTGGCGTTATCGGGAAAAGGGGGTTGTGGTTCGATCAGTGATATAGATACCCCTTTTAGCTTGAGGCCCGGGTCATTTGGCGAACATTTGGTCGCGATTAGCGTACTTAGCTATAACACTTCTCGGCCATAATGAGAGAACTTGCGTTACGTTATGCTTCCAACCGGCTGTCTCTCTCTCGTGGAGCGGGCTATCAAGGACACCAGGCGTATCATCGCGCGGTCTAACGAGTGGCTGACATGGTTCCAACTGAACATTGGGTAAGTAGACAAGGCCTCACGTTAACGACTGAATCGTCGCCTCGTCGTGGAATCCCAGAGTGATGCATCCAGATGGCTGGTAGTTCATACGCACAGGGCATGAGATAGAAATCAAACCGCATCGTGAGTTTTCCTTCACATCTTGTCCTGTTCAGGAGCACACGCCACCCGACATGGACTGGATTTCCTCCTCCGGTGAAGAAGCTGTCCATGGGCGACAAATGCATCACCATCTGGCAAAACAAACGATAGACCCGATGGTGTCTGCTCTTCGGATGCATAAGTCACCTACCCTATATGACCACTCAGGACCTTTCGTGGCTTCCTGGCAACTGGCAAGGACCTTTGACAGGCCGACCGGCTGTTCAGTTCCAAAACGGCCCGCCAGCCGCCCAACCAGGGCACAACCGTGAAAAAATGCCACCATCGCCACCAAACCTCATCTACACAACCACCTCGACCCCAACGAGTTTAATAACGACAGAAAAAAGGCCAAAAACAATGAAACAGTGGAGATGCAGGGAATTGAACCCTGGACCGTCTCTATAGCTGTCTGGATCGACCGATTTGCTTGTTGGTGGACCAGTGTGCGAAAGAGAAATCATACCCCTAGACCACATCCCCGATGTTTGGTTGATGGAAGGGCGGAGCGGTATGGGGAGCTAAGTTCGAGTCGTAGCAGAGAGACTGACTCGTGCTACGGACACCGGTGGAGGAGTGCCCACTGGGTATGCGGGTTTGCAGCTCGGATGGATGGGAAGGGGAGTTGGTGGCTGTTCAGCGTTGTCGGTTGTGACTTGTTGCGGCGTCAAGGCTGCCTTATGTTCGTCCGTCTCTCGATGTGAGTGTCGCTTCGTCTGCTATCTGTTGACCACTGCCTGTGAGTGTGCTGCGCTCCTGCGGTGCTGATCTGCCGCCCTGTGCAAAAAAAGAAGTCCTCCCCGAACCGACAGACATCGGCAAAAGGATTGGCTCCGCCGTGAATCGAACACGGGTTGCATCGGAGAGTAGAAGAAGGTAGAGAACCACAACGATGAGTCTTGACCACTGGACCACGGAACCTGTTTTGGAGTCGGCGATAGCGTCGCATCCTGACTCGGATGTCGATGCCAGCCGGTAGAGCCGACCATCTTCTTCTTCCTCTGTTCGGCACGAAGGTTGGACTTGCCGGCCCGACCCAAGCACGCAATCGCCTCATAAGGTTTTGCTGATGAGGCCTATCCACACGGGCCGAATGATATGGGGAAGGTTGCCCACAAGTGCTGATGGGTTTGGACGGCCCGGGCACTGCCAGGGCTGAGGGACACGATTGTCACATCATGGCGATGCCAAGATTGGGAAACCAACGGACAACAGTAAAGACCGTCATACAAAAGTTTAACTGCCAAGGATTGCGAACAGTTCTTGATGTGAGATGTTTCTCACATAATCAACCGATCATCGTGTTGAGGCCGTTTCGTAAGAGATTTCCAGTTCCACGCCGACGAAACTTCAGGTGTGAGTCATCTTTCGACCCGATGTTTCAAGGTGAGATCCGACATCGCTGCCATGCTGAGGTTATCGTCGTGACACCGGCGGCGATGATCGTGAGAAATAGAGTCCTGACATGAGAAAATGAACCGGAGCGACACCGGAGAGGTGTTTAATATCAACGACGCGCTCAGAGTCGGATGCGACGCTTCGTAGAAGCGAATGATGTGAGATGCGAACCTTTTAAATTCTTATCAGATCGTCCCTTACTGGCGCATGATAGATAGGTGAGACCGAGATACAGCCCTCAGATGAAGCGACTATTTCCCCAGCCCGTCACGCCCGGTGCCGCAAGTGGAGTGCGTCCAGGCCGGTGCCGTTCGCCATTGAACCCCCAAGACCGTCGCGGTTGTGGTGATTTCGGCCGACTTGATCTTAGGGGCATCGTGATAAGAAAGCTCCCCACACACATCACTTCTTCCTTGAGATGGCTGGCTGGCTTCCGGGCTAGGTCGTACCTGCAGAGGAACGACGCAGCGCTCGATAGAGCTAGGGATGGGATGGTATTCTCCCATCTCTTATCTCGCATGAAGCTTCCCCTTCCCTCTCGCCCACGCCGCAATCCCCATCAGGGTCCTGACCCCGCAATGAGCCTTGGGCAGCCGTGTCTATCCGACATGTAAAATGGGATGAGAGATAGGGAGTTCAGTCCGTCTAGTCCGGAGACCGGAGGACCCTGATGGATTGATAGCCAAGGAGTGAAACATCGCTGCTCACTGAGCGAGCGTTGTTGTGTACCTTGGCAGCACGACAGGATATGGGTGGTAGAGGCAGGGAGAAGACAAAGGAGAAACGTCATGCCTGAGAAAACTGACGCCAGAATGGGAGAGGGACATGGACGTTGTTGCACAGCGTAACCCGGCGAGAACCTTGAAGGGTAAGAGTGACAGAAGGAAGACAGCAGCTCCTTTTCGCTTGTTCGCGTCCCTCCTTTGGGGCACAGTTCAACATCCGGCCAAAGTCGGGAGAGCATTTCTTTGACGACAAGGGTAGGTATGTCGTGCATACGATGTCTTGGCGTCTCGACCTCGATATCCCTCGTCGTCGCAATGTCGTACCTGCCTGGGTGACGTTCGACATCGGTCTTTGCAGCTGCTGACCCGTGTCATCCTCCCTTCTGCTGGTGAGAAAGGCAGCCAAGCTCGTTTTGCAGCGTGGGATGATGGTGCATGAGTGTTCGAAATAGGCAACCCGAGGGCACAGCGGGGAAGGCCAATGTAGGCAAAGGAGGGATCCAGGTAACGCAGCATGTCGACATCGCGAGGTAACGGACTGCCAACCCCTCGTCATCGCCGGGGTTCACGGACCAGCAGTTTAGGCAGTTGGTGGTTGAGGAACTCGACATGCAGTATATAGTTCTCCCGCTCACAGTGAAGTCCAGGGCGCGAGGCAGCTCACGACCCTTCATCCACCAGAGTCGCACTTGAAGCCGTTGCAGAGTTCCACACGCACAAACCCTGCCACTCGGATCCAGGACTGTCCAGAACTCGGTCAAGTCTGGTTTTGCCGTCCGCCGAACCCCCACGCATCAGCAAGTTGGAAAAAAAGCAGCCGAGGGGTAACGGATGGCTCAATGAACGGCTCGAGATTGAGGCTTGCTTCGTCTCGTTCTCTCGGTTCTGCAAGTTAGAGTGCCATCAGATCCCGATGTGTGATTTGTGACAATCAAGTTGCCAGTTTGATGAGTTGACGGCCGTGCCAGAAAAGGGCACGTAGGAACGTGCAGGTGTGAGGTGAGGGCCACGGGTGCACGTTGCCGAGTGAATCGAGAGGGGACGGACACGGGGTGTTTAGAAGACGGTGGTAGACTTAACACGTCAAGGCGTTGCGTACCTCGAATGGCGCATGGCTGTCGGCTGCTAAGGTAGCAACACCAGGCTCCAAGATAACTAATCCAGAGTAAAAGGCTTGGGAAAGGGCGGGGAAGTCTCAGATAACAGTCGTACCTTGCACTACACGTGTAGGTAGTTGTCGGAAGTTTGAAGCTTGGTGAACTGAGGAATGGATACTTAGCACACGAGTACCAGCACTCCTGGACCATGTGCCACTCACGGCGGCCTGTGGTTGGGAGAGCCAACAAGGTGTCCATATCACTGTCACCCGGCTGGGCAAGGAATGCAGAAACATGCTCGTCTAGTGATTGCACAATATTTGGCATTACGAAGCAGTTTCGAAGAACTCCTGAGCGTCAGCAGGACCACCGGCACGGGATTACGTACTCGCAGTGCTTCAACGCAGTTGTAGACTTATTACTGTGTAAGACGTGCTGGCCAATATGTTCGTGCTCGGTGTGATCAATGGTGTAAGAGAGCCAAAGGGCTCAGCAGTTATACACCTGCCTGGCCGCGGTTCATACGTAATCTGCAGTGTCTCTCACGAATGCACAGGCATTGGAAGATGCAATACGAATATTTCCGGCAGAATCACCAGCAAACAACCTAATGCAAAGGGATTCGCGATCTAAGAGGATTATGATCCCAGTTTCAGAGTGTTGGTGAATCGATGGGCTGGTAGCGCCGGCAGGTACACATGAGGTCACCATTGCAGCGCCTGCAGCGCACAGTGCACTGAAGCCGCAGTCCAGGCACGCCCTGTCAATCACTGGCAACCCAACCTGGAACCCCGCCTGCTGCTGGCCGCGGCTTCCCTACAAATCCGTCATTGACTGCATGTCAAACTGTCAATTGGCAAGGCGCTGCGTGCCTAAACGATTCAGATCGATTGGATTCCAAGTCAAGGTAGTTACCATTTGCTTCAGTTGTGTTCTCCATCTTATCGAAACAGTCATTACCCTTTTTGCAAAATTTTCGCGAACAAGCGGTCGACAAAACCTGTAACCCCTTGCAAAACGGCGGGTATGGAGTCGAGGTACTCGAGGAAGTCGCTGAGGGATGTACCGCCAATTATAGACGTAGCGCCAGAGAGTGCTAAAGCAGTAGGCATGGTCCTAATGTCAGTATATGATTGGCCCAAAGCACCCAGGGACTGATCTCCGCTCTCGGATTGACTTCATCGGTACATCCCACTCAACCCTTGGCAGTGCACAGGTACGTACCCTCCGGCTTGCACGGGTCCCGTCGTCGCCATTCAACTCATCAGACATGACCCAAATCACGCCAGTCGCAAAGGAGTCATCGCTGCTACGATACTGGAATACATAACCTGCATGGCCGCCGTGTCGAAGTTGGGGGTTCCCCATCTAATGCTGAGCTCGATAGCCGGATTACGAATATAACATCTCAAATCCCTCTCTTCAGAATTCCCTTTTCGTCTCTGCCGTTCACTTATCACAAACCACAAACCACAGAGACACCTGAATGTTATCCTTTCAACCTCGAAGGACACAAACGACCATCATCGACGTCACCAGTAACCATTACTGACTCTCGCTCGGACCACTGAGCATATCCTCGCTCTTCCGTCTTGCAAGAACATTCGCTGCCAAAGTATTTACGGGTTATAACAATTCGAGAGCAGCAGCCCTTTCTACGATCTGGCATTCCGGCTTGGGACTTACAAGCACGCCTTACACACACCACTCTTATCAGCAACCAGACGATTAGGGGGGAATAGAAAAATAATAATCCAACCTACCTCGCAGCCACTACACAAAAACCAAACAACAATTCGAAGGAGTACCTTGCCAGCAAACTCTCGGATTTGTCTGCATTTGGACGACTTACTTGACTTTGGACTGAGATTCCCATCTCTTGCTCACATCGAGCTCACTCGGTCTACATCGAATCGGCCACAGCCAGTATCCAGCCGGGATCCCCGCTTCCATCGGCCGTCCCCACGTTCTCCAGGACGAGCATCCTTGCCTCAAACCCGCTCTCAAATGCACCACCAACGCCGAAGATCTGGGCATGTTTCTGCCAACACCTCCATGACAGATGTGCGGAAGAACAGCGCCGTCACTCTCGATGAACTATCTGCAAAGTACAACAGCAAGAACGCCAGGCCAACACTCCTCACGAGGAGGACGACGGACAAGCTTTCATCAACAAAGCTGGGCAAGAGCCCGAGACAACGGGAGCAAGAATGGGACGACGAGCGCTGGTGGGAAGACGAGAGGGAGAGCTTCCCCCAATATTGGTATGTGAAACCTTCCCCTCATTCTGAGTCCTTGATATTACATATTGGTTTGCTCGCCTCTTGCGCCCAAGCTTCGCCCGCAAGTGCTGTGCAGCGATAGCTTCTTCGCCTAAGCAACCCCTCTCCGAGGTTTCCCTGTTTTGTCCTTCCGCGGCATCACCTGGTCCCTTGAGGGTTGTGGACTATCGACGATAGCTCCTTGTTTTACCCCTGTGACGAAAGAGACTACCCTCGGCACGGCCTCTGCCGTTGTTGCATATTTCCCTTAACTTTAAACTTGCTCTATACGTTACCTTATGCAACATATACCGGACTCTTGACTGACTAATGCCCCTAGCATGACGTGCGAGAAGCAATTTGCAGCTCAAGATGAGCGTGTCCTGTACTGCTCCGAAGAGTAAGTCACCATTGCCGAGCAGACGGAAGACACGAAGGGC